ACTCGCTACTGGATATCATCTAGCCCTGTTCATCTGCGGGAACCTCCAACATGGAATTGAACATTTAACTTTGGAACATACGGTGTATAGACTTGGGGCGTTTTCTTCAACAAAAATAGACATAGATGACAAAGTGGTTGATTGACCAACTATTGACATATCTCGTGAAAATAAAAGAATCAGTGTGCAAACCACGATACCAGCATGATTATGCGGAATGCCATGATCTATAACAAAAACATCAACGCTATAATATACATTCTAATCGTCCACCCAAGTCTATCACTGGCCCCTTTTTGAATCTTGATTACCACCACCTGCCGAGTACCAGAGACGCGCGTCCCTTTTCAAAAGTAAGTCACATCATAGCCGTGCACTACTGGTCCCCTGGTCTTCACCCGAAGGCCGCTCCACCTCCTCGACAGTCGCCTGCGCGCCTTTACTATCGATGAAATGCGAGATCCGGTTCCGCGGCAACCACGCTTCCTCAGGCATAACAAAGTACGAAATAAGCGCAAAAATAGTAACACCAGCCATGATAATCGGCGCATCTACATAGAAAGTCAGTCAACCGTTTACAAACCACCCTCACAACAACAGCAGAAGGCAGGGGAACATACAATTCAGATTCGCCCCGGTAACGGGAAACGCATACGGCGAAAAGAGAACGGCAACAACCCATCCATTCCAGAACACGCCGATGAACTGGAACGGCTTGCTCCATTTCCCGAGACTCCATTGGGGTTTGGGAAAGCGCTTCGGGGTGCAGAGGAGACGGGCGAGACAGATGAGGCCGTAGGCTGCGGCGCTGGGGACACCGGCGGCGGAGACGAGCGAGGTGAACGCCACGTCGGAGGGGAGGAGCGTGCAGGTGATGAGGGCTGCTACGGCCCACACGACGATCACGGCGTTGCGGGGCTGGCCGTTGTGGACTTTGGAGACCCATGATGAGAAGGGGAGGACGCCGTCGCGGGCTACGGCGAAGACGAGACGCGAGGCCGCTACGATTGCGATTGCGGTGTTCTTGTGGGAGGGGTTAGTTGGGCTGTGATGGGCGGGGTAGGAGGGTGTTAGACTTACGAGCCACAGGGCGACGATGCAGATTACGTTCATGAAAATGTGGCCGCCTCTACCAAGGACGACAGCGTAGAGGGGGACAAATGGCTGTGGGGAGCCGAATGAGAAGAGGGTGTCGGGGTCAGGCTGTAGGGTGTGTTAGTTTAATGGAAACAGTGTGTTTCCCTGAGTTCGGTGGACTTACCGCGCAGAAGAGGAACAGGATGATGGTGGCCAGTCCTCCGATTCCGCTCACTATTGTGCTCCAGAAGATGCCTCGCGCTGCGGTTATGGAAGCGTTTTTGGTCTCCTCGGCGACGTGGCCGGATGCGTCGAATCCGATCAGGATACCCGCTGTTGCGAGATAGGACAGACACCAGTTCCAGCCTGGCGGAGCGCCGGTGCCGTTATAGGTCGACATGAAGGCTTCTTCGGCAGTTCGGAAACCCCAGGTGTTGTGTGCGCCGATGGGGAGCCAGATGATGTTCAGGATGAAATCGAGTAGCACAACCATGGATGAGAACCAGAACACATAGCGGAAGTATTTAGCTGTGGGGTGTGAGTGATATGCTTCTATGTTAAGAGGGGCTTGAGCATACGCGGCATGAAGTTTAAGATAGCAGCCAGTGCGAGCAGGATTTCTGTGCAGATCCATTGGACCGCACGGAACTTGACGCTCGATGTGTCCGTGGGGAAGTCGACATTGAAGACCGTCAGCTCCTATGAGACTGGTTAGTACCCCCGTCCCGGAGTAGGCGAGTTCCAATGAACAAGACTCACCGAGAGCATGTAGTTCACAGCCGCTTGGGTGTTGCTGGCGCAGAACGTCGTCCATGCGGTAGTACTCCACCAAGCGACGATGAAGCCAAGGAGTCGACCAAACCGAGGACCACCGGCTTCAGCAGCCCACAGATAAATGGACCCGGCAGACGGGGAAGCAGAGCAGACCTCCGCAATGACCGCGGCAGTAATATAGGTGAAGACCATGGTAACTAGATAACTCGTCCTTATTGGGGTGAGCGACTGGTACCATACACAAATACCATGAGCCTTACCAGTAGGCCAAGTTACCACCGGCCGCAATACCGGTACTGAAAGTAACACGCACACCACCGACGAAGTAAAGCGCAGCTGATGAGTTCGTTAGCCATGCAAATCTTTCGTAGCAGGTTTCTTTGACCTACCAAACGTGGTCGCAAAGTTCTCGAAAAATGTATATGTTCTATGAAGGACCTACACTTATGAGGTTCTGCTTACAACTGATATGGGAATCCTCCAAAGACTTACTGGCTTGTAGCCCATGGTCCGCTGGTGATATGGTTAGTAATTGCCATTGCGGTATCACGATAGCGATCTTCCATGCGCTGGGAAGTGAAAGCATTAGAAATCAGAAAAGGCTATGAAACGCACCAGAAGGGCTGCATCATCCTGCGACTCTGTTTGGCTTCGGACTTCCTCGTTGACGATTGGATGCGCATCCTGGTCAACGAGCAGATCGGCTTGCTGCTGAGCGGGCGCCATGGCAGCAGTGTCGCAAGGCGAGTGACAGCAGATTATCTTATCTCAGACAACGCGCAAAATCCACGACTCGAATAGATCAGAGGGGGAAAGAAGAACAAGAAGGAAAAAACACAAGTTTAATGTGACCTCCCAACGATTGAGTTTTACAGATAAAAATGTCAGGAACCTGTTGACCCCACCGTGGAAGCGGGAAAGAAACGTGAAGGTTTAAAAAAAAGAAAAAAAAGGCTAAGGCGAACTAGAAAGTTGGCGAAAATTCCCGGTTGTCTTCGGCCTAAGACCCTCTAAAATGACAGGGTTTCTCTCGCAAGTGTACTACCCAGCAGCGCTTGGTGATCTTTAACCGCAAGTTGAGATCGCTGCGGCCGTTCGGAGATGACTGCTCCGCAAGAGTTGATATTTAGGAAGCCTGAGGGTCAAAAAAGCTGGAGCTCAATTTCCTCTTTTTTTCCCACTCTCACGAGCTAAGGGATGAAAATGCCAATCAGAGTAGCTGTGCGGATGGACTCGAGGCCAGTGGGTCTCGAGCTGTACCTTACTTCAAAGAACCTTAAGGGAGGTCACCGCGGCCCATATATGTAGGGTTCCAATCTGAAGCTAATGGTCTGATGCCGTTCTTCTTTCACCGGTGTCTCAAAGGGTGGAATTGTTAAACTAGGTCTTACCTTCAAGGAATCCGCATCTATGTATGTAGTCTGATCATGGTGTAGGCGACAGTCAGACCGGATGTCGGCCGTCATCACATCATCTCTGCCCCACCGTCGGTGGAGTCGAGCCATTGTCGTTAGGAAATCCGTGCGATGCCGCCAATGAGCCGTTTCTATAGTCTGGTCACAATTGCTCTGAAGGTTGATTCCTTGGGACAAACGAAAATGAGAACAGTTTTTTTTCCTTTTCTATAGTAGTACAAGGTGTATATCGATCAACTGTAGCCTTAGGCTACAGCTGTGTCACGTTGTCCCACGTGACTCTCATCCTACAAAGGGTGGTAAGAATAAGTAGGTAGCTCTCCAACCACCACCAGACCTATATATGGAGAGAGCGATATTCACTTAACGCGATCGTAAGGTGATTATTGATTGATACCAAGACGAATTCTCGTTGCCTCGTAGTATTTGAACCACTGTCATGTCTCAGACCCCTATCAGAGAAATCTTTTTAGCAATAGTTTTGTATCAATCCACTACACAATATATACCGGTGGTGGGACTGATGGAACGAGGTGGCTGTCGACTCTTGATCCAAGGAGGACAAGAACCCTTGTCAATAGCCAAGTGGACTGACAATTCTAGGTGATTCAAGGATTATATATTTTTCATGCAGAACTTTATGCGGGAGGCGCCGTACAACCCTTGAAATCGCCCAGGATTACTGCGTCAACATCCTCATGGGATATCGTAACGCTTCGTTCGTGGTAACTCTCGACGTTAAATGATATCTATGATAGGGGCTCTAAATTTAGGCAGATCTCTGTGTGTTCAATTACGGTACGATGGGGTATTGTTGTATCACGGGTAGCAAGAAGACATGGAGAAAAAACGGCATAATTGAAAGAAAGGAGAAGTAATTAAAATAAACAGGACATAATCTATGGGAATAGAGAGAAAAGACCAAGATAATCGCTGAAACAATGAGGTTGATCAAGTCGAGATGGGTTGTAAAACCCACATCAAAACGTACAGCTGCATGTTTCACGGCGCTATTTCTTTTGAGTTGTTTTATGTTAATTTTGAATGTCAGAAGAAATGTTGTATAACTTCAGTCGATGCGAGAAAATGAGGAAAGTATCACGAGACCTGTGCGTGACCAACCGGGCAGAAGGATAGCATGACAGGTGACTTCCTGCGTACATCAATGATCGATCTACCTGGTGGAGAAATATTGAACGCTGCCAAGAACATCATCTTTCTCCACGTTACGCGCGGATCGACTTGCTTTCCCCGCGTTGGGTTCCCCTCAATGCCAACCCAATCTATTTTAGTTGCATGAGTCAATACCACCGTTGCTCTCTCTCGAACCTATAGAGAAGCATGCCAATGCACACGGCGACTCGGAGGAATGCTGGAAAACGTGATCACCGGCCCGGCTGTTGACGGCTGTTGAAAGGGGGGAAAGCGCGTTCGTGCATAGACAACTCGGTCGAAGCCTTGCCGAACTACTTGTAATTAATCCTTTCATTCATTAAGTACTCATTTTACCCGGGCCCCTCTTATAGACGGGAGGGGGTGTATGCAGTTCCTTTGTCCTCTGTCTCCTTCGATTTTCTTTATTTTTTTTCCATTCTCGTGGCTTCATATAAAGAGTCTGATGCTCTACCCAAGATTAGCTGCCGACCCTGGGGTGGTACGAAGCTGGCCTCGACTGGAATGAGGCCTCTCCGCCTTCACTTTCTTAACCAACTAGACACTCTGTCTCGCCCTTACCAACCATGAGTGTTTCCTTGACCCTGAGGTCGGCCTTGGGACCGTGTCGAGCGGCTTCCATCGCCCGCCCAGGAAAATCACTCTTCGCTGTTCAACATTCGAGTAAGTGTTATCTTCGCGCAGCAATGTCCCGTAGCGGTAATCGCTAATGCACCCTCTGTTTGATAGTCATACAAATCCGGACCCCTTATGTGCCATACCAGCGTCAGGCCTACGAAGAACCCTCCTTTCCGCGATGGCCACAGGTCTCCAGGAGAAGTGCGAGCACCTCTTCCTCTCCGTCACCAGTCCCGGTTATTCCGTACTCCTCTTTAACAGTCGGTGTACCCCGGGAAACATATCCAAATGAACGTCGCGTCGCCATTACCCCTCAGAACGTTGCCTTGCTACTGAAGAAGGGCTTCTCGCGTGTGTTGGTCGAACGTGGTGCTGGAGAGGCAGCCGAGCTTCTGGATCAAGCTTACGAACAAGCTGGGGCCACTCTGGTCGACCAAGCGACAGTATGGTCACAAAGTAATATTATCTTGAAAGTCCGCGGTCCTCAGCCCGGCGATGAAGTTGAAGCTCTTCAGCAAGGCAGTACGATCATCTCGTTTCTGTATCCGGCACAGAACAAACAGCTGGTAGACCAACTTGCATCCCGCCGCGTGACTGCATTTGCGATGGAAATGATTCCTAGGATATCCCGTGCTCAGACCTTCGATGCCCTTAGGTGCGTAGCGTAAGAGGGTTTGATTATGACCACTCGCTAACTGTGAGGGGTAACTCATAGTTCCATGGCCAACATTGCTGGCTATAAAGCTATTCTCGAAGCATCAAATCAATTCGGCCGTTTCTTGACGGGCCAAGTAACTGCTGCTGGGTAGGTATCCTGCTGGTCCTGTTGGGGCAGCCTCGCTAACTGTAATCCTACGCAGAAAGGTTCTTTCACTTGACCACTCTGTAGTGTTAGTACTAACGGAAATTGATCCAGATACCCCCTAGCAAGGTCCTAGTCATTGGGGCTGGCGTGGCTGGTTTGAGTGCCATTGCCTCGGTAGGTCCATATTTATTTTCGAAACAGACCTTGTACCAACATTACAACTCTAGGCTCGTCGTCTAGGCGCGATTGTCCGTGGATTTGACACCCGTCCAGCTGTCCGTGAACAAGTTCAATCCTTAGGTGCAGAATTCATTGAAGTAGACATACAAGAAGATGGCTCTGGCCAGGGCGGATATGCCAAAGAAATGTCCAAGGAGTTCATCGAAGCCGAAATGAAGCTCTTCATGGAACAATGTCGTGAGGTAGACATCATCGTGACCACTGCGCTGATTCCCGGAAAGCCCGCGCCGAAGCTCATTACTAAAGAGGTACGTATTTTGATATTATCCACAACCGAAGGAATATGCACTCACATCGATCAAGATGGTCGCTGCTATGAAACCTGGTTCTGTCATTGTCGACCTTGCGGCAGAGGCTGGCGGCAACTGTGAAGCGACTGTTCCCGGAGAATTGACCAAGTACCACGATGTCACTGTCATTGGTTTGTTTGGACTCTGAGCAATACTATTTCGTACCTGTCGCTAACTTGCTTAGGATACACTGATCTGCCATCGCGACTACCTACTCAGTCATCTACTCTCTACTCCAACAACATCACAAAGTACCTTCTGTCCATGGCACCACAAGAAAGGTCGTTCGGCGTTGATCTATCCGATGAGGTTGTACGCGGCTCAATCGTCACTCTCGATGGGGAAATACTCCCTCCGGCACCACGACCAGCCCCTCCGCCGGCGCCAAAAGTAGAAGCAGCTGCTCCAGCAAAGGAAAAAGTGGACTTGGCACTGACACCTTGGCAAAAAGTAACACGAGATGTGGCCACTGTCACCGCTGGCATGGGAACTACTCTGGCACTAGGAAAAGCAACTGGTCCTATTTTTATGGGAAACATGCTCACTTTCGGGCTTGCTGGCCTTGTTGGCTACCGTGCTGTATGGGGAGTCGCCCCTGCCCTTCATTCCCCGCTCATGAGTGTTACCAACGCGATTTCGGGTTAGTCGAGCTTCTTCAGAGTCACTTGTAACGATACTGATGAGTTGGCACTAGGTATGGTTGGTATTGGTGGCTTCTTCATCATGGGTGGGGGCTATCTGCCTAGCACAATCCCAGAGGCCCTTGGAGCTATCTCGGTGCTTTTAGCATTTGTTAACGTATCTGGAGGATTTGTGGTGACGAAGCGCATGCTAGACATGTTTAAGCGTTGGTGCTCCTGCTTCTCGCAATATGCTAGCTGCTCATAATGTCTAGGTCCAACTGACCCACCCGAATACCCATGGCTATACGCGATACCTGCTGTTCTATTTGGTGGAGGATTTGTTGCTGCGGCTAGTACGGGCATGGCCGGGTTGGTACAAGCCGGATATTTGATTAGCAGCGTCCTCTGCATTGGTGAGTGGAACGATGCAACGTACTTTCCCACCAACTTCTGAACAAAAGATAGGATCGATCTCTGGCCTAGCATCGCAGCAAACTGCCAGGCGTGGCAACATACTCGGCATTCTGGGTGTAGCATCTGGAATTCTTGCATCTCTCGCAGCTGTAGGATTTTCACCTGAGGTGCTAGCTCAATTTGGCGCTGTCGCTGGTGTCGGATCTATAGTCGGTAAGTGTTATCCTTGGTCAGTATATTGGAAATCTTCTCACAAGTACCCAGGAGCATTAATCGGGCGACGTATTACACCTACTGGACTTCCTCAAACAGTTGCTGCGTTGCATTCCGTGGTTGGATTAGCAGCGGTTCTTACGAGTATCGGAAGTGTGATTACCGATGTTGCAGACATTTCAACGCTGCACATGGTCACAGCGTACCTTGGCGTTCTGATAGGTAGGTGCAGTTGAATGATGCATGGCGTACTGGACCCTAACACTCGCAGGCGGCGTCACATTTACCGGGTCAATTGTAGCGTTCCTGAAGCTAGCAGGTCGCATGTCATCCAGGCCAACTATTCTTCCCGGGCGTCATGTGATAAATTCGACATTGCTAGGCACCAATTTGGCTACAATGGGTGCATTCGTTACTATGGCCCCAGGCTCTCCAGTCATCGCGGCTACGTGTCTTGGTGCAAACACGGCACTCAGCTTTCTGAAGGGCTACACTACAACCGCTGCCATTGGCGGGGCCGATATGCGTATGTCCTCTCATTACCCCGATGAGAGCCTGCTAACCTGTTATAGCTGTTGTCATCACGGTGTTAAATGCGTATTCGGGCTTTGCCCTGGTAGCGGAGGGTTTTATGCTCAACAATCCACTTTTGACGAGTATAGGATCTTTGATCGGTGTAAGCGGCTCTATTCTGTCATACATTATGGTAGGTAATCATGAACCTTCGATTTTTCACGGCTGATTTAACCCGACATAGTGCGTTGCTATGAATCGATCTCTCCCCAATGTACTCTTCGGTGGGATTGCAGCCCCTCAACAAGCAAAGAAAATTGAGGGTCAGGTTACGCAAACCTCTATTGATGATACAGTAGACGCACTTGCCAACGCAGAGAACGTCATTATTGTATGTACATTGCTCTTTGACCCTCGTATAGCAACTGACCACCTATAGGTCGTTGGATATGGCATGGCAGTGGCAAAAGCACAATACGCAATTTCCGAGATCACACGTATGTTACGCGCCAAAGGCATCAATGTCCGTTTTGCAATTCACCCTGTTGCCGGACGAATGCCAGGACAGTGTAACGTACTCCTCGCCGAGGCCTCGGTGCCCTACGACAGTAAGTATCCCTTGTCCCATGGTAGTGCACGTGACTGAAACAGGACAGTTGTACTTGAAATGGACGAAATAAATGACGATTTTTCCGAAACGGATGTCACCCTTGTCATCGGTGCCAATGATACAGTCAATCCCATTGCATTGGAACCCGACTCCCCAATCTCGGGTATGCCAGTATTGCACGCGTGGAAGAGCAAGGAAGTGATTGTGATGAAGCGAGGAATGTCTAGTGGATATGGTGAGTGCCACAGCCATATGATGTAGCGATGTTATTGTATTGATTACTGTTTACAGCTGATGTGCCGAACCCGATGTTCTATATGCCTGGCACAAGGATGCTGTTCGGAGACGCGAAGAGCTCGTGTGACGGTAAGTATCGCGGCTCTCACAAAAATGATATTTCTAACGCAAACTAGCTATCAAAGCCGCTCTTGAAGCTCGTAAATAGAGTGTGGTCAATATCTCTGTGCTTCGTACTTTTTCACTGTGTTTATTTGTTAGAGTGTATCCACATTTTTGTCAATGTGTTTGTGCTGTTGTTCTTCCATAACTCGACTAGTAGTATGAATAAATCCACCAGTCCATATTGTCATAAATTTTAAGCCCCGAGCTCTTGATATATTCAGAACACTTCTAGCAACGAACATGCCTACCAGACCAGAATAGAGCACATTCAAGTGTCGTTTGGATGCTAGTACGCAGGTGTTGTTTTGGGGCATCTGCGAACACAGTCTCGCAACTACTAGTAGTAGCCTAAAGGATCCCTAGATAAATGCCCGAGCACCCATATCCTATGCAAAGGGCATGCTAACTGCTAGTTGAGCCGCTGTAACAGGATACAGTTCTAAATAGTATATATACTTACGGGGGCAGTCTTGTAGATCGTGGCTAGACATTGGTGTACCTCCTTGTCTGTCTACCTTACGATAAGATCGGGGGTAAGACTATTTCTACTTGCTTTCTTTTGTTGTTCCCACACGGCTTCACATAATAAGCGCACTCAAGTATAGGATGGCGATGCCCAGTAGATAGTATTTCCTTGTATTGCTCTGACAAGTCACCTGACATCCGTCCATTAGAGGTGACATTTCAACAAAGGCAAATCCTTTAACTTATTCGAACTTAGTATAACCGGCTTTCCACATTGGGAACGCGTGTGTGGTCTGGTTCCTTTATTCGTTTATTTGGGATCACATCGACACGTCGACGCGTTGTCTAGGGAGACCAGAATCATGGCTCACGCAAAGTTTTGACAATTTTTCGCCTTCTCCTGGCCCTGAGGACCTGTCAACGCTTGCATTCCTATACACCATGGAGTCGACAACGCTCACTAGCGACCATCACGCAAAGGAATACCCTAAAGGGTGGAAGCTGATGGTGCTCACCCTGGGAATCTGTTTGACTATCTTTCTGATATCCCTGGAGTATGTCTCGGGCTTCTCTACTTAACCCGCGTAGTGGGCTAACATTGTCCATTCAGTTTCTCTATCATTGCCACAGCCATTCCATCAATCACCTCTGAATTTCACACCCTGGCGGACGTTGGTTGGTATGGAAGCGGTATGTTCGTCGTTCCCTGTTGCTGACTCGAAACATCCGCTAACACCAAGTACAGCCTATCTTCTGACCACGGCGTCCTCGCAACTCCTCATCGGAAAGTTCTACACAATATACAACATCAAATGGGTCTTTCTGACCGCACTGCTCATATTCGAAATTGGGAGCGCCATTTGTGGCGCAGCGCCCAACTCCGTCGCCCTTATCCTAGGGCGCGCCATTGCTGGCTGCGGAAATGCTGGTCTTCTGTCTGGTGCTCTACTCATTTTGACTCACAGTGTACCCCTTCATAGGCGTCCCTTGTTTACGTGAGTTGGCCAATGGTTGGCAAAAAAGAAATCGAATTAACCCTTTTCCAGTGCCATGACCGGTGGTACATATGGCGTCGCTGCCATAGCTGGACCTCCACTGGGCGGAGTTTTCACAGACAAACTTGTATGTCAAGAACCCCCTTTCCCCTACAACAACTTGAACAAGCTCCTGACCTCCTCCAAGTCCTAGCGATGGTGCTTTTATATTAATCTCCCCATTGGTGCTGTGACTTTCTTTGCCGTTGCACTCTTTTTCCGACCAACTAACCTACCAAAAACCGGAGATGCTCAGACCGGCCTTGACCTTGTCATGCGTTTCGACCCTCTCGGAACCTGTTTATTTATGCCGGCTGTGATTTGCGTATTGCTGGCAATACAATGGGGTGGTACCGCGTATGACTGGAACAACGGCCGGATTATCGCCTTGTTTGTCGTGTTCGGCGTGCTGCTTCTCGCATTCCTCTTCGTACAATGGCGGGCACAGGGCAATGCCACTGTCCCGCCTCATATCGTCCGGAAACGCACCGTCTGGTCCTGCGCCATCTATCAGTTTACTCTCGGCGCAGGGTTCTTTGTTTTCGTGTACTACGTTCCTATATGGTTCCAGGCCGTGCAAGGTGTTAGTGCCATTGAATCGGGAAAGCGAGCGCTGCCAATGCTGGTCGGAAACATTGTCGGTACGACGGTATCGGGTGTGGTTGTCGCTGCTATAGGTCAATTTGCACCGTTCATGATTCTAGGTACCATTCTGACTTCCGTGGGCGGCGGCCTGTTGACGCTCTTCAACCCTACCACCACTACCGCTCAGTGGATTGGCTATCAGGTTCTAGTGGGCGTGGGCATTGGGGTAGGATGGCAGCAACCCATCGTGGCAGTGCAAACCGTAGTCAGCATGGAAGACCTCCCCACCGCGACTGCCATCTTGTCGTTTGCGCAAACCATTGGTGGGTCACTCTTCGTCAGCGTGGCACAAACTGTGTTTACCAACAAATTGGTAAGGGAGCTTGCGGCTATAGTTCCTGAGCTAGACAGCTCTGCGGTGTTGCAAGACGGCGCATCTGATCTGGCCCGTCATATCCCCAAGCAATATCTTTTTGCCGTTGTGAAGGCGTATAGTACTGGGTTAACAAACGCGTTTCTGGTTGGCACAGTGTTGGTGGTTTTGTCTGTGGTTGGCAGTGCCTTTGTGGAATGGAAGAGCACCAAGGGCCAGAAAGTTGAAACCAGCATTGTGGCTTAATTGTGGAAGAGTCACATAGTAAGTGTTGACAGGTGCCGTTAGGAATTTATATGGACCATGCTGTGGGTGCGTGGAGCTGGGCAAGTTGATTAAATATTTGGATAGTTGATTTATCTTCAACTGAACTTACCAGAGTCTACCATGGATTTATGCCAGAAAATAAAATGATATCAAACTCGTGTCTTCCCCTCTGCACAATGGTTATTCTCTCATTCAACCAATATATCTACGTCATTTCATAGCCATATACATTTCTACGGAAAATAAGCGGGGAGGCACTGATTTATAGTCCTACTAGAGGTCGTACTCAGGATAATGGTACAACACAGAATCAGCCATAGCTAGATACTTCTCTCTGTAGAAAGGAGGACGAGAGGTACAAGGCGGAGTTGACTAAAAGTTCCTATTCGTAAGAACAGGGGTCAGAATATTCGCCGAATCCTTTCCCTCAAAAGCATCCACAAGTATCTGATCCCTTTCGTGCGCCATGTTGGCAGTACTTAGGTCAATTGGCTCGGCCGGCGACGCAAGGTTCATGTACGGAACAAGGTCGCTCCAGAGGTCTAAAGATAAGACGAGTGCCCTACTGTTGGGTCCGCAAAGAGTGCATCCCCATCGCGTGTATTAGCGTCAGGGCTGGGTGCAAGCATCCATGATCCAAGAAGTATATACCGGATAGGGTATATCAAACTCAAACTCCGCATCATGGTTACTTTACGCTTCATTATGTTCCTCGGTTTTGACGACCTTATCGAGTTCACTTTACCGTGTCTCTGATAATAACGGTGCGTTCTTCCTTTTATTCGTATCCTGTAACAGCCCGCCCAATCCTCATAAACTAAACTACAACTTGATCCACTGCTCTCGTGGCAGTTGGTTGTTGGCCATGTGGTCCCTCTCTGCCTCATTGACCAAGTAGAGGAAACACTCCCTCAATGATACATTATCTTTGTAGTCCCTATCCTCCACCCATTTTCCTTCTGTCACGTTCCCTATAGGCCTACTAAAGGCTATAGTGCATACGTCCCCTATGACCTCTTGCTTCAGGAATATTGTCCGGTCAATGGTGGATATAAATCCATATTTAAGCTTTGCTGCCAGCATGTATCCCACAGGTTGGGCTTGTTACACATGTTAGTGATGGTACCATCTGTGTCTCATGATTCTACATACCAATGATGCGGCGCAGATGGGGCAGCTTTCTGTACCCAGCTGCCAGATCATGCTGGCTGATCCAGGGAGTTTTCAACTCGCCTACAATACGTAGTAGGCCATTGTGATTCATCACAGCGATGTCCGGCACTTGTGCTTTGGTCCGTCTATCTGTAGTAGACTTGTAATCTCCGAAATGTGCCACTGACCCCGTCGCCGCAAGGACGGCTGTCATCACCTAAATCAACTCTGCACAATAGGTCAAAGTCGTCCCAAGGGACTAAAGGCCCGATGAAGCCTTCGTGATGTAATGTGTGATTTGGCTCCGTTGCCCCAAGATATAAGCCGCGAAAGATAGGCTAATTAAGTGAGGGACAGTGGGAACTAATGTAGATTAGAACAAAGTCAGCTTCTGAATCTTGATGTGATCCACGATATTGTATTTCCTCACAGATTGTAGATTCCATAGCAATTACCAGCCCACACAAGCACGTCTGGACCATCTGTTCGGCCTTCTGATTGATTCCACGAGACATGTTGGAGGTTTGGTTCCGGAGCCGCTACCGACACACCAGCTAGGCTACTAATATACCTTTTCCTGCAACTGCCTGCCTAAGGTGAGTGTAGTGACTATTAGATCCTGGGAATGTGAAGCAAATAAGCCGGCACATGACCTAGTATACTATCTACCAGTAGTGATATTGGGAACCGACCTACACCAGTTACCGGGTCCTGTGATTCGCTGGTCTAAAAGCATAATTAACTAGCAAAGTGACTGTAATGACGAATGCGGACTCAAAAATGCAATATGCAAGGAAAGAACGGATACGGTGATTTTCGAAATCCGAATTGGCTAGTGAATGATAGACTACATCTGATGGACGGGGTCTCCGTGCAGTAAGTGTAGTACAACCACCTATCATATGGAAGCAATTGACAACTCATAGGACTTCCAGCGAGCATAATGGACAAATCCCTGACTACCCCGCCCTCCTGAATCCCCCTTATCTGGAATGCACTGTGACTGGAGGGATTAAATTGGCAATGTGTGCTTCTTCCATACTTGTGTCCCGCCTCCCATGTTTCCGCCAGAAGTTGAACTTTCCCTATTCCAGTTGATTAATCTTGAGCTGTTTGGTGACCTGGGCAGTTGCTTTACCGGAAGACTACAGTCAAATGAAGATGTGAATCAATATATGTACTGAATAAAAGGGATCCGGAGGTCTTAACATAGACCCAGCAAATAGAATGATACCTAGCATTGTAACGTCATCGGACACCGAGTCAGCAGTCCGATTATTAACACGACAACTCCTTGCTTCACTTGCTTCGAGTGAACATTGGAGTTGCAGTTCTGGGACTTCAAGGCTCCATACCGGCAAAGGTTCAACATTAAAGTATCGCCCACGAGACCGCATTTCCAGGGTTGGTCCCACACCCAATGGCCTAGGCCTTACTACCAGTAAGGAAACAACTCTTCTAAAGTGGATATTATCATTAGGTGTATATTGCCTACTAGAATGAATTCTTCTCATGCGAGGTATAATGCCGGAGCGAGTGTGTATATAGCTGCACGCAGTCAAAGGAAAGCGGAGCCTGTGACTTGACTTCAAGGCACAAAAAGCACGAAGGAAAAAAAACCCACAGTCAGCCTAGCAAACGGCTTTTAGAAGCCTTTGTTGTGACAATGATGCTGGTGTTGCTGATAGACTCCGCACCAACATAAATAGCAAGGCCTCGAGCCGTACTTTGGTACCAAGTGTGTTACGCCCTACCTCCTTACCCAGCTGCTGCCACCTCTTCTTATCACGACAGCCGAGAAATCGCTAACGCCCCTGGACAGTGTTGGTGTTATTTTGTATTCTAGTTCTATGGTGGGAGAGAAATTTCCAAGGCCTTTGAAGAATGATGTGAGGAGAAGATCTGAGATTCCCGCTAAAGCAGTGCGTGTTTCCAACATCCTTTCTTTGCACAATAAGACCCACCACCTTGAACTATGCTACAGCAAACCACTGCTGTTGTGGCAGCTGGTTAGTCGTGGTATGATTATTTTCTGCCAATTGTACAAGATACAAGAAGCACTCTCTCAGGGACACCATATCCTCGTAGCTTCCATCGTCGACCCTTTTCGCCTCGGTGCAGCTCATTATAGGCCTACTAAAGGCTATTGTCCAGTTTCCCCCTATTATCTCTTGCTTGAGAAAGATTGTCATATTGTACGTAGATATGAAGCCACATTTCAGCTTCGCGGTAAATGTACACCTCACCGGCTGAGCTTATTGCATATATTAGTAATAGTACCATCTGTGTCTCATCCACATTTGTGCATACCTAGGACCTGTCGCAGATGACGGTCGTTTCTGCATGCAGTTTCGAGATTGTGTCGTTCAATCCAGGGAGTTTTCAACTCGCCAACAACACGCAATAGGCCATGCTCATTCTGTATCGCTACATCTGGTACCTTCCTTTGATACGTCGGTCCCCGGTAGACTTATAGTCTCCAAAGCATGAATTCGAAACCAATCGCCTCCAGTGCAGCCGTCATGACGTGGGAGAGTCTTTCAGTAAATCGGCTTTGTAAACCCATCTCGTCCCCAACAACGACTCGCTCTGTGGATAGCAATGCCGGTCATGTGATCGATTTATAGCCCAATACCTGACCACCGATACTCAGGTTCAACGCCACGACATTCAAGCCTGGCTTCTTCCTCAAACTCGTCCCAAGGGACCAGAGGGCCAAAGAAGGTCCCATAATGGAGAGCATGAGACTTTGTTCTGTTTATGCCGATATTTAAATCTGGCAAAGGGCGCTTTGATAACTTGCGTAGCCTTCTGTGCAATTCCGTTCGGCATTTTGAAGGATGCTTTGGACTTGTGTTTTTATACTTACTTTGGTATCTCCACATACTATACTACGTACTACAGGGGAATTCAATTCACGGTCAGGACTCTGCATTGCATTCATGATACAATGTGACATTCACACGTGTATTCTTAATTGCATACTTGCGTGAAAATATCATTAACTCGCTCGACTTCACCGCAGCCTGACGTCGTGATGATAAGCTTTGGACTCCCCGCTCTGGCCAATATTCGCGCAATACACGCAGACAACAGCACCAGCTATGGAGGGGCGATCGGCTTGATTAATGAAAAGTAGTAACGGTGCTACGGTGACCTGAAGCATACGCCCTTTTTATATCTTGTAAGGCTCTAGGTGAAGTGAAAGCAACTATCAAAATCTGGCTCAAACACCAAATTAGCTTGAGAATGAGGTGAGGTGCTAAATACTAGTCGTTAAACAGTGTCTGTTTGGGGTGGAAGAGGGTCTAGTCAACCCTTGCGGACCGACGTAGGGGATGATGATCTTCTAGCAAGGATTGCTAAAATGAAAATTCAGAGGGGGTACATGGCGTCGCTACTATATAAGGGACA